GGTTAGGCACAACGTTGACTTTCCTTGAAACATGAAGTCACAGGTTCATTTCCCCACCTTACCAATGTAGTGTCCTTGAGCAAGACACCTCATTCTTAAGCTGGAAACATACTCCCGACTCGGACGGGTTGATGCGCGGTCACGTGATTGTTCGGCAGTCGTTTTCGCACAGACCTTTCATAGTCCCTGACACACCCCGCGCCAAGTTCGGGGAACCCCCCTCCCACTGAAACATACGTCACTGCATGGAATTTCTCCCCGCTACAGCCGACAATGCAGTAAAAAAGTCAGACTCGTCACTCACCCGATGTATTTATCCACATCTGTCTTGGTTAAAGCTCCACAGATTTTATCAGTCAGATTCCTCCGTGCACAACATCTGTTTAATCTCCATTCATGAGTTTTTCATGGTTTGACTATCTTTACAAAACTGTGCTTCCTGGTAACAGTCGGCTCTGGGAGCGAGTCAGTGTTTTTTTCCTTTTTCTTTTTACCAAGTGATTGAAGTAAATGCAGCGCTTTCAGCACAAACACGCACGAGTTTTTCTCGGTTTGACTATCTTTTTAAAACTCTGCTTCAATAGTCTGCTCTAGTCAGAAGCGAGTTTTTTTCTTTTGAGTGTCCATCCGAGTGCTTTCAGTTTCAGCAGAAACACGCCCACAAGCTTCAGACCAATCACATATTACCGTCGACATGTGGGGTTGTACTGTAGTGTCTAAAAGTGGGGGTTTGTCTCAGGAATGCACAGATGTGAGGCCCCTGAGCCATCCAGCTTTAGAGCTCAGCACATATCACCATATTAGGAAAGAAGATCACTTGAGGTATACCGTGACAAGATTTACATACATCTGTGGAAAATGTGGGGGGGGTTCTCTCTGAGGAAAGACTACAGAGTGCTGGGTGAACGTTCCTAAAGTGAATTGTTGACTGTTTTTCACCTCAGCTGTGCCTTTTCTTGGTGTGTGTATGCAGGCAGTTGTGTGCTTTGAGCCACTGGTTTAGCAGCCAGGTGTAGATTTATGGTATACAGAGAGGATACAGCTGTTTATTCTTGCTTTGATTCATGAAGTGAGGCATGCGGAAAGATGAGAATCCATGACAGGGAGGTTTTTGCAGGGTTTTTTCATTTAATGACGTACTTTTGCCAGCCAGCGCRTGGTTTTCCATGGCCATAGGAAATACCTGTAATTCGCTCAAGAGTGACATGTATGCATTTAATTTATGGCGCATTTCAAATTTAGATAAAGTTGAAGATAGGATTGATTTGGATTTTTTTGCAACTCGGCTGTTCATGTGGAATGTGACTGCAGTATTTTTTATTGTTATTTTTATATTTTTTGTTGCTCCACAGAATTCAGCCTGCTCTGAAATTGCCTGACAGACAGAGCCCTGTAGGAAGGGGGGTCGTGCAGCCTGTGAGTAATTGTCCTGCTGCTGCTCTGAGTTGAGGCCGATTAGGAAAAAAAAAATAAAAAAGGCAGAGCGGCTGTGTGCAAATGGTGTGTGTTTCTTATTAACCATACAGGGCGGGCCTCTGTAGAATTAAATATATAATTAAATGAATAGATAAGTA